TACATCCAAAATAGTGGCTTCCAAGGAGATCTGTGACGATAGTTTCGTTCAAGGCAGAGAGATCAGCTGAGAAGGTTATAATGACTATTCTGGGGATCCACAAAGGGTGATCTTACTAGATTTTCTCAAAGGACACAGGACAATCATAGGGGCTAATTAGGAAGAGATTTTTTAAGAAAACTGAAAACTGCATTGGTGAGGAAAAGACAAGTGGCTCCAGGAATGTTTTCCCATCACATCAATGCACCTGCCTCTTCTCATAGGGCACAAGGACAGTCTTACGATCATTTTGCTGAGAAACCTTACCCCATCCACACTACAACTCTGATCTTGCCCTTCAGACTTCTTTCTGTTCCCCAAACTCAAAGAACAGTTAAGAGGAACACAATTGGAGTCTGTCAAGGATGCCAAAACTGCTGGTTAGATGTGGTGTAAATCAAAGAGCACCTAATTCTTTGGAGAAGGGTTAGAGAGATGGAAAGCCCATCTTTAGAAATCCTAAATGGAGTACTGGTGTGGCACTGTAGAATAAACACTGGACTGTTAACTACAAAGTTAGTCATACAAACCTACCAAGGTGCTCCTCAAAAACCCTGTTCAGGGTCACTATGAGCCCAATACTAGATGGAAGATACAACAAGAAACAATAGCTTCATATTTTGATATTTTTATTTAATAAGGTTTCTATGATTTTGTAGCGATACTTTTTAACTTACTCTAGCATCTATCAGAGAAGCTACAAAAATAGCAGTTTAAAAGATAATGAAATTTTTCCATGAAATTTTGAAGCCCCTTATATATTTGTTACAAACCATTCAATTGGTGGTAATTTTTCTTATAGCAGCACTAGGAAACTAATACATGGAGGAAAAGGGGAGTTATAGAGCAGAGATCCAGACCACAGCTCCTTGACCCCCCAGAATCAATCTGAAGGGAAGGAGTTGGGGAAAAGCCAATTGAGAAGCTCTGTCACTCGCTAAGTCACCGTGGTGGTGCTATAGGATAATCACTGGACTGTTAACACAAGGTTGATGGTTCAAACCCACCAGCAGCTCTGAGGGATAACAATGAGGCTGTCTGTTTCTCTAAAGACTTAGTCTCTGAAAAGCTCTGAATCGGATTTCACTTGATGATAGTGGGTTGGGGGGGGGGGGGTTTGGTATCACTTCCGGAGATGAAGGGAAGGGTGATGGTTCAAACCCACCAGCAGCTCTGAGGGATAA